ACACACACACACACACACACACACACACACACACACACACACACCATTCAATCAGTGTCCGACCAGATTACCCAGGATTTAAACACCCGTTTTTCAAATTTGTACTCTTTAACAATTCTTAAAATCCTTGGAAGTTACTTCCTGTTCCCTATAACAGGTTTCTGAACTTTTCCATGCCAGCAAATAACATTAGMTTCTGGCCGGGCACATAGTTTTTCTCAGAGTGCAAGTATTTTAGTTTGGGTACTYGCCAATAATCAGTATGTACTGAGTTAAAACTTAAACATTACATGCCTGATTATAAAAAAAAGATTTATTTCATTTAGAACCTGACACTGAATCAGATACATGCATTTTATCTGACTTAAACATCAGTGAGATGGGGGTGTATGGATAGATCAAAGTATTATCAGGGTTTCCATGGGTTCTTAGTCTAAAAGGCGTTGAATTCATCAATCCAAAAAAAGACCTTCATTAGCCTTAAAATATCTTCAATCTTTCAGAGGTCTTAATAATGTTAACACATTGTAAGTAGGATGATTTTAATTAGTCACAAAAATTAAAATAATTGGTATCATTGATTATTTTAATTACCAAATGTTTCTCACAGCCCATTGTTTTGTGTTAAAATAAACAATTGGGTGAAAATGTCACTTTTTTCCCAGCTGTGTTTATTGTGAAGTCTGTCTTAAATTTAATTTCAAATGGCATTAAAGAATATCCAAGTCTTCCAACTTGCCTTAAGCAACCCTGAGTTATACTAACTTCGAGTCATGCTGTTTAAATCTCAGAACTCAGTACATCTGTAGCTACAGAACACAAGTCCAGTTGCTTCATCTATTTTCTTTTAATGTCTGATTGTATCGATACTGAAGTTACTGGATCAGTACTTCAGTGAGTTCTACCTCCATCACGTCATTTCGTKCCATAAATAAAAAGCTGCATTAGAGCAGCCAACCAGAGGCAGGTTCAAATGTCAAAATTAAACTAAACAAGCGAACAGATAATGATCACACAACTTCAGAATCATCATGCTAACATGGAGCATCCACGGGTGGATCTGTTCTGTAAACGACGAGCTTTACGTGATGCATCGAGTCGCATCAACCTCAGTGTTCACAGTGGAGGCTTATGAAGGTTGCATTTAACTATWTGTGAATGTTCATGCAAAACAAATGGTGTTGGGACATTTTTAACGAGTACAAGTACTTTGTATAGCCCAATATCTGTATCGAGACACAACTACAGAAAATTKACAGAACCAAAAWTATCTTAGGATGATGAGGGTTTCTTTTCTTCATCATGAGACAAACCATGGACTGTGCTGTCCTCAGGTGTCTCCAGGGGCGTTGGCTTCATTCGTTTCGACCGGCGAGTCGAGGCTGAGGAGGCCATCAAAGGTCTGAACTGTCAAAAGCCGTCCGGTGCCACCGAACCCATCACGGTGAAGTTTGCGAACAACCCGAGCCAGAAGACGAGCCAGGCTCTGCTGTCCCAGCTGTATCAGTCGCCCAATCGAAGGTACCCAGGACCCCTCGCACAGCAGGCACAACGCTTCAGGTAAAAGGAGCCCCCCGTAACCAGACGGCATCAGATCAGAGTCCAAACATCTCATTCTCATGATCATTTTATCTTCTCACAGCAGCCAGAATCAAAGCTCGGAACTACAGCTCTGTAGCTTGAGCAGATTAGGACTAAAAAGACTGACCTGAGTAATAACCTTCAATTACTAAATCACTGATCTGTTTTAACATTCAGATTTTTATTATTCACTTATTGGTTTCAGTGATCAATAATTTATTATAATATGAAAGTTTTTTTGAAACACTGTAGGAACTGAAAGTTGTGTTGTGTAGTTAGATTTATTAAAAAAAAACAAGAATCAGCAGGTTGTTAAAAAGCTAAAATAGTTGTGGGATTTATCAGGGTGCAAAAACTGACTTTAATATCAGAACAATTACTCATCTCATCAAAAATATTCAATCTTAGAATCTATTATCCCAGAAGCCTAATTTTCTTTTTCTTTGTTGTTCTGCTCTCTGAAGGCTGGACAACCTGCTGAACATGGCGTACGGAGTCAAAAGGTAAACCTTTCTTTTCCGTGAATTTCATCATTTGCTTTAATGAATCCTGACCTGATGAGCTCCATTTAATGTTGCGTAGGTAGTCTGTGCTGCACAAGAGATTGTTGATGAAATATGAAGTGTTTCTGCAGATAAATATATACAGACTTCAGTAGGAGTCRGGGGGAAATGGATTATATGGCTTCACAGCAGTAAATATTCAAAGTGTGTTTGAAGCTTCTGATGCTCCTTTAAAGGAATCCTTTCTAAAGATTACCAGCTGCTCAAACCAGGGATGTTCACAATGTCCAGTGATGACAAATAAACAAGTATAGGGATGTTTAAGCAGCTTATTACATAAACATGGGATTTATTCAGAATAAATAACTTTTTGTAACTTCTGTGATGAACTTGCTGACCCTACTCCAGACAGAAAAACTTAAAGGGATCCATGATTTAGTTGTAATGTTAAAATTTATTTGATGAACATATATTTTAACTGTAAAATAAAGACTGTAAAAATACTGTAGGATGTTTAGTTTTGTAATTTTTTTTTAACATATTTTGACATGGACAGAGCCATTTTTTTACACACAAAGCATTCTGGGTAAATGATGATGTAGATAGGTCCTCTGTGTGAGCGAGCTATATCCACCCTGAAGTTAGTCTTGGACAATATCTGATG